GGCCCTCTGATTAGGGGATGACAGCTCTGGTTTTAGCCAATTAAATACCATTCCATTCGCATCCATCAGCCCCACTTCATAGATACACGCTCAGGTGTGGACGCCGGGGCCCCAGCAGCTCCTGATCCCAAGGTCTCCGGGGACAGAGGAGCTCAGCTCCTCCTCCAGGACAGGCACTGTGCGTACAGCAAGGTGGCCTGGTCCCCGTCCCCAGGGAGCTCCTATCCTGTACATGAAAACAAACATGGGCCAACACTGTGGCACAGTGGGTAAAGCCACTGCCTGTGATGCCGGCATCCCATATGGGCGCCCGTTCAAGTCCCGGCTGCTCCACTTCTGATCCCGCCTCTTTCTCTGCCTCCAGTGCTGCCATTCGCCACGCTCCCCGTGTGTCTGTCTCTGTTCCTCTCCCAGGGACGTCGGTCACGCTGGATTTGGGGCCCTCTCTCCTCCAATGTGACCTCAGCTTAACTCGTTACCTGTGCAACCACTCTACCAGGACCAGGGGTCTCCCACGTGCGTGGCAGGGACTCAAGTACTTGAGGCATCATCTGCCGCTTCCCAAATGCCTAAGCAGTGCTGCATCAGAAGTGGAGTAGCCAGGGGCTGGCGCTGTGGTGCAGCGGGTAAAGCCGCCTCCTGCAATGTCGACTTCCCATATGGGCGCCGGTTTGAGTCCCAGATGCTCCACTTCCGATCCAGCTCCCTGCTAATGCACCTGGGAAAGCAGTGGAAGATGGCCCAAGTGTGTGGGCACCTGTAGCCATGTGGGAGACCCAGAAGAAGCTCCTGGCTCCTGGCTTTGGCCTGGCCCAGTCCTGGCCATTGCAACATTCCAGCAGATGGAAGACCTCTCTCTCTTCTTGTCTCTCTCTCTCTCTCTCTGTGACTCCCACTTTCAAATAAATGGATAAATCTTAAAAAAAAAAAAAAAGTTTTGAAACCCACTTATGTGAGGGCCCTTCAGTTAATGAAAAATGCATTTATGAAAAAAACTGCATGATCCCCAAACAAAGCTGTATTCTGCAATTTCAGGAAGGATGTGAATGGCGGGGGGAGGGCTCCTAACTCAGCCCCAGGCCCCGAAGCAGAATGGAGCCCCCTGGCCTGTTGGTAGGAGGAAGGAGTTGGAAAATCAGGTGACTGCTTCTGGGTCCCAGCAACCAGCGCAGGCAGAGCCAGGGTCAGTGCCAGAACTGCTGACCCCACACCCAGCCTCCAAGGCACCAGGAGCAGCTAGGACCCAAGTCCAGCACATGGGGGTCCAAACTGGCCCGGGGCGCCAGCCCCACGGCTCACCTGCAAGGCCCAGCCCAGGGAATCCCTCACTTCTCCCCACGGCCAGTCGCACCTGGTCGCCAAAGGGGACGAGCCTCGTCGGTTCATTTTTCTCCCCTTCAAAAAAAAAAATAAATTCATAAATGGTCCTTGGCAAGCTGTTTACTACCTGGCTTTAACGGCCTGTTTATGGCCTCGAGCCTGCGTCTGTTAACACGGCCCTCGTCATTTTCCCTCATTAACTGTCAATTTGGAAGCCAGTTCTGGCATTAACCATGCCTAGGCCTAAATGGCTGCGGACAGTTGATTTTATGACCGCGCCTTGTCTTGCAAGGCGGGGGTGACGCAAGCAGAGGGGTCTGAGCCCGGCTCAGGCGAGCACGCGGCTGCCGGCAGGAAGGGCCAGGCAGGTGGGAGTCCCCAGGCCTGAGACCCAGGGGTGTGCGGGCCCCCAAGGAGGCCTGACCACTCCTCTTTCAGCTGCCGAGGGACCGGAGCAGATTTGAAAAGAAATTCAACTTTGTTGACCATTTGGGGGATGACCAGTGGGTGGCAGATCTCTATTCCTCTCTCTGTAACTCTGCCTTTCAAATAAATAAACAAATATTAAAAATAAGAAGAAGAATAAAAGCCTTCCACATGCTGAGCGGAAAGTCTGAAGACTGAACCAGATTTGCCCAGGGACTGTGGTCGGCACTCGGCTTGCTGCCAACACACCCCCCTACTTTGCACAGCCAGGTTTGGGGCTGGTTTGCAAAACAGAGCAGTATTTGGAGGAGACAGCTACACAGCAAGGCAGATAATGACAAGGTGGACAGAGAGTCTGCTGTCCTGGGGAGGGAGGGGCCTCACAGCAGCCGTTCTCTGGCTCCGAGATGTGCCTGCATCCTGCGTGCTGCGCGCGGGGACCACGCTGGGGCCCAGGCTCCCAGCTGCTGGTTACGCTCTGCCTCAGTCTGGGCAGGAGGTAAATGGTGTGCTTCTCCCATGGCGCCTTGACTGAGGCTAGACACAGGCCGCTGTCTCAGCACGGAGAACAAAACTCCCGCTGACCGTCACCTTCGCCTAGAAGTCCTTCCTGCCCTTCGCAGACCCCGCAAGTCACGCCCCTCCTGTGTTCCCAGGGCTCATCCCACAGGGCTCCCAAGCCGCAAAGGCTGTGGGGACCAGCAAGCGACTCCCCCTCTGAGGCTGGCAGGGAAGACCAGGCCGGCTAGTGAGCAGGACACGGCTCCTGCTCGGATACAGACCCATGGCCTCCAGATCGGGCTTTTGTTTTTCTTTTCTTGTTTTAGAGATTTGTTTGTTTGAGAGGCAGAGTTACACACACACAGACATAGAGAGAAAGGCCTTCCAATCTGCTGATTCACTCCCTGTATGGCCTCAAAGGCCCGGGCCGGACAAGGCTGAAGCCAAGAACCTGGAATTCCATCCAGGTCTCCCACGTGGGTGGCAGGAGTCCAGGGGCTTGGGCATCTTCTGCTTCCTTCCCAGGCGCTTTAGTAGGGGGCTGGACCAGATGTGGAGCAGGGGCTGGCGCTGTGGTATAGCGGGGAAAGCCGCCGCCTACAGTGCCAGCATCCCATACGGGCACCGGGTCAAGTCCTGGCTGCTCCACTTCCGATCCAGCTCTCTGCTATGGCCTGGGGAAGCAGTAGAAGATGGCCCAAGTTCTTGGGACCCTGAACCCCTGTGGGAGACCTGGAGGAGGCTCCTGGCTTCGGATTGGTACAGTTGCAGCCACTGCGGCCAACTGGGGAGTGAACCAGCGGATGGAAGACCTCTCTCTCTCTCTCTCTCTCTGCCTCTCCTCCTCTCTGTGTGTAACTCTGACTTTCAAATAAATAAATCTTAAAAAAAAAAAAAAAAAAGTAGAGCAGCTAGGACTCCACCTGGCTCTCACAAGAGGAAGCTGCCTTCCCAGGTGGCTGCTTAACTCGGATAGGAATCACCCTGTGCCAGCCCAACTCCAGGTGCTTTACGTGAATTAACGAACTTAATCCCACAAATCACGTGCCAGACACCGTGCTAAGCTCTTTAGGTATTTTTATCTGACGGAATCCTTGCAAAATCTTATAAAGCTGCTAACTGCTGGATCTTACAAAGCCTTCACAGGAGCTGGCTTGCTGAAGGTGGAAAGCTGGGGGCCAGGACTGTGGTGCAGCGAGTTGAGAGTTGAGCCTCTGACATCATACAGGCGCTGGTTCAAGTCCCCGCTACTCCACTTCAATCCAGCTCCCTGCTAACGCACCTGGGAAAGCAGAGGCTATGCTAACTAACACAGACACAGTATTTCTAGTCTTACAAGCCCTGTGATCTGGGGCAAGCCGCACAGCCTCTGTCTGGCTTCTGCTTTCACATCGTGAAATAGACACAGCAATACTGCCTGGATCCCACAATGGAAGGAGATTCACTGGGATAAGGCAGGCAGGGTGCTGAGCACAGTCCCTGGCGCAGACCCAGCAATGGCCAAGTTGCAGCAAGTGTCACCATTACACCCTGTTTCATTTGTAGCTGTGAAATCTCATCTCAGTGGCCCTCCACGAATAAAACCTAGCAAGGCTCCGTGCTCTGTGCTGCACTCCCTCCCGTCCCTACTGGGATCTGGCAACTCTCAGCTACATACCTGTGCAGGTGGGAAGCAGGAGCGGGGGAAGAGGGGAGAGCTGAGGAGAGCAAGAGGGAGGAACTGTAACCTCGGTAGGAGACAGTGCCAGAGACAGGTGACGGGACTGCATTCCTACCGGGTGCCAGGCTACAGGCTACACAGGTGATCTCGTCCCATCCTGGGCAGGCGTCGGCGCCCGTTTCATTGCAGAGGAGCCTGAAGCTCAGCGTTCCCGACCTGCTCCTGTGTCTGCGTCTCGGCTTGCGGGCTGGGACACTGGGAGTCGGTCACAGCGCCACCGCTCCACGCCCCGCTTCAGGTGGTCAAGTGTCTTACCTTCCACAGTGAGTGAGATCACGCAGGGTCTGCCCTTCTGGGCCTGGCTTATTTCCCTTTCCAAAATGCCACCCAGGTTGCCACAGACACAGAATCTCATCATTTTTATGGCTGGATAATATTCCACGGTGTATATGGACCACAGCTTTTGTTAGCCGTCCACCCTTCAAAGCCCATCTCTGTGAATTCCAAGTCTTGGCTACTGGGAAATAATGCTGCAGGAGACACAGGGCGTCTCAGAAATTCTGATTTCATTTCCTTTGCCTATACCAAAATACCCAGTAATGGAATCAGTGGGCCACGTGGCAGTCATATTTTCTAGTTTTCTGAGGACCTCCATGCTGGCTAGGAAGGGTAGGGAGGAGGGGGATAGAGCGAGGCTGGGTGACAGGTGCAACACACAGTTTGAGGGGGGATGGAGTTCTGATGTTATGCAGCAGAGTAAGGCAACTGCAGCCTACAACACTTCAGTGTTTTCAAAAGAACCGGAGGGAAGATTCTGCAAGTTCCCAACACAAGGAATGACAGCATTGAGGAGATGAAGGTGCTGTTCATCCTTATTTGCTCCTTACCATGATGCGGTGCCCATAAACCAGCACAAAGGGTAGAGGTGGGCTAAAACAGGGCGATAACAATGCTCGCTCTGGCTGCAGCAGGACCAAGCCATGCAGCAAGGTCATTCCTGCAGAAGACCCCACCCAGCCCTGATAAAACCCTCCTTTGTTTGTAAAACCTTTGTCCCTATGCTAATTCCATTAACTGATTCTAGAAAGCAGTAATAGAAGTAGGATTTTTATTTTCCTATTTACAAAACATCCACCCAGTCCTGCTTGGCCCCACCTGACTGCCTTCTGCAGTCAAGTTCCTGCTACCCATCGCCTTCCACACCCTCCTAGAATTCGTCAAAGCACCAGTCACCTACTTCTGCAAGTCAGAGGGCTCCTGGGTCAAACCCATCTCTCTTCCTTGCTGGAGCACCGAACTCAGAGACCACTGAGGGAGGGCGGGGACGGAGGATCCCTTTTTAATGTGAAAATGATTTGCATTTTTCTAATTGGATTGCAGGAATTCTTTATGCATCCAGGGTTGTAATCCTTTGTCTTCTTCCAATCTGTGGCTTGTTTGTTGAAGGGGAATTTGGTGGACAATAGTTTTTAGTGTAGCTGTGACTCTTTGTATCTTATTTCCTTGTTTAGAAAATACTTCCTGGGGGCTGGCGCTGTGGTACTAGGCTAAGCCCCTGCTGCAGTGCCTGCATCCCATATGGGTGCCTGTTCAAGTTGTGGCTGCTCCTCTTCGGATCCAGCTCTCTGCTGTGGCCTGGGACAGCAATGGAAGATGGCTCAAGTGCTTGGGCCCCTGCTTGCACACGGGAGACCTAGAGGAAGCTCCTGGCTCCTGGCTTTGGATTGGCCCAGCTCCGGCCATTGCAGTCATTTGGGAAGTGAACCAGCAGATGAAGGACCTTTCTGTCTCTCCCTCTCTCTGTAACTCTACCTCTCAACTACATAAATAAAATCTTAAAAAAAGAAAAACAGAAATAAAATACTTCCCTTACCTGCAGGTCATGGAATAGCTCCCCCTCAGAGTTTATAATGGCACCTTTCCAAGTGACACCCGGAACTGGCCAGCATCTGGTTTTTATAGCTCAGGACACAAGGACCTGTCCCTCCCCCGCGCAGATAACCAGCGCGCTGGCGTCCTCGGCGGTCCCTTCCTCCTGGCCCTGGTGGCCTGCCACGTGAGGCTTACGGCGGGACTCGCGCCCGCCTCTGGGCTTTCTGCTCTCTTTCACTGGTCAGTTTCTCGGTGCCAAAGCAACCGCCAAGTAACTCCACGATGAATTCCACCCTCTTCTGGGCAAAGCGCCCCCGCGCATGCTTCTTCAGGAATGTCTTGGCTATTCTTGCACATTTGTGCTTCCATATACATTGGAGAATCAGCTTTTGCAGTTCCTGGAAAAATCCAGATGAGGTTTTGATTGAAATTGTGTTAAGTCTACGGCTCAGTGTTTTACTTAAGATCTTCAACATACCAAAGCATTTTAGTCATGAAATGAACATCTTTCTCCATTTATTTATGGACTTCAGTGGCTTTTCTCTAACATTCATATAATTTTATCCACAGTGGTCTTCCGCGGAGAGGGCTGCTGGTGCGCTAGAGCAGGCTAAGCCACCCCTGCGATGTTGGTATCCCACATGCGCACCTGTTTGTGTCCCGGCTGCTCCACTTCAGATCCAGCTCCCCGCTAATGACGTGGGAAAGCAGTGAAAGATGGACCAAGTCGTTAGACCCCTGCACCCTTGTGGGACACCAGGGAGACCAGCCTTGGCCACTGCAGCCATCTGGGGAGTGAACCAGAGGACGGAAAACCTCTCTATTTCTGTCTCTCTATCTCTCTCTAACTCTGCCTTCCAAATAATAAATGAATAAATCTTTTAAAAATTTTTATGGGCCTTTTATCATTTTGGTATTATAAATTGTAACATCTTTTAAATTACATTTTCTTATTGATTGCTTGTTGCTGAATAGAAATGTAATTTTAAACTACTGACATTATATCTTGCTATTTTGCTGAATTCTCACTAATCTCAGTTGGTATATTCTCTTGGATTTCCTATGTAAACAATCATACATCTATAAATAACACATTTTGTTTCTTCTTTTCTCATTGCTACATTTTTTTTCTTGCCTTATTGCACTGGCTGGGCCTCTAGGGCAACAGTAATGACAGATGACATTCTTATCTCTAATTCTTTTTTTTTTTTTTAAGATTTATTTATTTATTTAAAAGTCAGAGTTACACAGAGAGAGAAGGACAGGCAGAGACAGAGACAGAGACAGAGAGACAGAGAGACAGAGAGAGAGAGGTCTTCCATCCGCTGGTTCACTCCCCAATTGGCCACAACAGCTGGAGCTGTGCCGATCAGGAGCCAGGAGCTTCTTCTGGGTCTCCCATGAGGGTGCAGGGACCCAAGGACTTGGGCCATCCTCCACTGCTTCCCCAGGCCACAGCAGAGAGCTGGATCAGAAGTGGAGCAGCCAGGACTCAAACTGGTGCCCACATGAGATGCTGGCACTGCAGGTGGCGGCTTTACCTGCTTCGCCACAGCGCCAGCCCTGCCAATCTCTACTTCTTAAGGAAAAGGTTCCAACTTACCACCTTAAGATAGATGACGCTGGCCAGTGCCGCAGCTCATTTGGCTAATCCTCCACCTAGCGGCGCTGGCATACCGGGTTCTAGTCCCGGTCGGGGCGCCGGATTCTGTCCCGGTTGCCCCTCTTCCAGGCCAGCTCTCTGGTGTGGCCCAGGAGTGCAGTGGAGGATGGCCCAAGTGCTTGGGCCCTGCACCCCATGGGAGACCAGGAGAAGCACCTGGCTCCTGCCTTTGGATCAGCGTGGTGCCCCAGCCGCAGCGCGCCAGCCGCGGCGGCCATTGGAGGGTGAACCAACAGCAAAAGGAAGACCTTTCTCTCTGTCTCTCTCTCTCACTATCCACTCTGCCTGTCAAAAAAAAAAAAAAAAAAAAAAAAAAAAAAAAAGAGAAAGAATCCATTTAAAAAAAAAAAGATAGATAACACTGGCATATACCATCACATTGCCAAAAAAGCTCTCCCATTTCTCTTTTGATAAATATTTTTATTTAATTGATTATAAATAGCTGTCAAAATTTCCCAAATTCTTACTTCTACATGTATTGGAGTAGCTTATTTATTTCAACCTGTTAAACTATAAATATTTATAATTTTTTCCTTAACTCACTTTTGTATTTTAGGAATTAAACGCAGCTTGGTTCCTATGAGTGCATGCATTCAAGACCTGACTGCTCCTGACTCCGGCTTCCTGCTAACGTGCACCCTGGGAGGCAGCAGTGATGGCTCCGGCACTAGGGTCCCTGCCGCCCACGTGGAGGACCTGGACTGGCGTCCTGACTCCTGGTGGTGGCCTGGTCCAGCCATTGCTGTCGCAGGCATTTGGGGATTGAAAGAGCAGTTGTGGGGCCGGCGCCATGCCTCACTTGGTTAATCCTCTGCCTGCGGCGCCGGTATCTCATATGGGCACCAGGTTCTAGTCCCAGCTGCTCCTCTTCCAGTCCAGCTCTCTGCTGTGGCCCGGGAGGGAAGTGGAGGATGGCCCAAGTGCTTGGGCCCTGCACCCCATGGGAGACCAGGAGGAAGCACCTGGCTCCTGGCTTCGGATCAGCACAGCGCCGGCCGTAGGGGCCACTAGGGGGTGAACCAATGGAAGGAAGACCTTTCTCTCTGTCTCTATCTCTCACTGTCTTACTCTATCTGTCAAATAAATAATAATAATAATAATAATAATAATAATAATGAAAGCAGTTGCGAGTCTTCTGTCTCTGCCTTCCAAATAAATAAAACACTTCTAAATTCTGTGGGAAAAATAGAATGAAAAGTTTATTTTGGCACAAAAAATTTTGGAAATCCATGTATACTTTTTTTCATAATACACATTTTCCATGATTTTTTTAAGTTCCCTTGAATTCGCCCCATGGAACGAGCAGGCATTTTTTGCTGTGCTCTGGAAGATTCCGTGTATTTGTGTATTCCACAAATAGGATACACAACAGGCTTGGAATCAGCTTGAACGCTGGTAGAATTCCACTGGAAAAAAAAGAAAAAAAAACCTACGCACAGGCCCTGTAATTATTTTTTCTTGTCGGGAGACAGTTAACCACTTACTCATTTTTGAAGTGATTATAGGAAATTTGGACTTTTAAATTCTTTTAAATCAACTATGGAGCTACATTTTTCTAGGAATTTTACTATTTCATCTAAGAATTCAAATTGTTGGCATATTTTTATAATACTCCACTAGGCCACTATCTTTTAAATATTTGTTTTACCCGTAGCTTTATTTCATTTTCATTTCTCATGTCTGCCCACCTTCTTTTTGAAAAATGAGGCTTTCTAGAACTTTGCCTATTTTGCGAATCTTACTGAAGACCACTACTTGGCCTTGTGATCCACCCTTAGGCATCTTTTTTTTTTTTTCTATTTCATTAATTCCTGCTCTTACATTTATTGCCTCCGTTCTGCTTTTTGGGGGTCATTCTGTTGTCTTCTCAGTTCATATTTTTTTTTTCCTGTTTCTGGCCGAATCTAACACTTCAAGATACATTTTCCCATCCAAGAGTCCCTTTTAATTCATTGTTGAATTTTGACATGCAATATTTTCAGTATCACTCAATTCTAATTATATTAAAATTTATACTATTATTTTTCTTTCGTCTATGACTTATTCGGAAGTATGCTTTTAAGTTTCCAGATATAGAAAATTACTAAAATTGTCTTTGAATTATCTCTACCTACTTTCTATTTTTTTTTTAAAGATCTATTTATTTATTTGAAAGGCTGAGGAGAGAGAGAGAGAGAGAGAAAGGAAGAGAAAGATCTCCCACCCACTGACTGGTTCAGTCTCCAAATTGGCCACAACAGCCTGGGCTGGAACTGGCAAAAGCCAGGAGCCAGGAGCTTCATCCAGGTCTCCCACATGGGTGCAGGGTCCCAAGCACTTGGGCCATCCTCCACTGCTTTCCCAGGCCCATAGCAGGGAGCTGGATGGGAAGTGGAGCAGCCGGGCCTTGAACCAGCGCCCATGTGGGAAGCCGGCGCTGCAGGAGGCGGCTTCACCGGCTGTGCCACAGCGCCAGCCCCTCTTTGTACCTTCTCTGTGCTGCATGTTCTCCTGCCTGTTTTTGGAGGATCCAGGGCTCGACGTGATGTCTCAGTGTCAGTTCTGCATTGACAAGAGCCCCAGCTTTGGCTTCCGGTGGTGGCACGGGTGAATCTCTCCCTCCCGACACCCCTGTCCTGCAGCCATTATTCAGCTGACTGGCTTCCTCGGTCTGTCTGTGTGTAGATTTCTATCCACCCACCCGTACTTCTATCTATTAAGTTGTTTATCACAACCCTTAAGAGGTCCCTTATTTCCCACAACCCCATAAGTGCATTAAAGCCTATGTCCATTGTGACTTGGCCACAGCCTCCGGTGAAGAGTCCCTTGGAGGCCCAGGGTGCCATCCAGCCATGGTGGCACATGCTGTGGTCCAGATTCCTCATAGGACAAGTTCTGAACTACAGAGAGAAGGCAAGCACTTGAAACCCACTGTGGGTACCAGCAAGTCTCTAGGGATTTGTCTGTGCCACGAGCCCCAGACGCGGCTGCCTACAGGGCCACGGTGCAGATGTGCCAGAGGACACACACCTGCCCTCCACAGTGTTTCTGGAACCATCCGGGTCTTATTGCCTCTTCTGCTGGTCAGTCACTACTTACTGCATACAGAACTGCTAGGTGGGGGACCATGGGGAGTGTAGGTGACCACACAGCAGACGTCAGCGGTGCTGCCTGTGGGCGATGCCTTCGTCCATCTACTGTCTGTCTGTGCTCCTTCATGGTGCTGTCTCATCGCGACACAGAAAACGCATTCTCCGCAGGATCCCTCGTACATCAAAGAGCTGGCACCAGGGTCTGGAATGACGACCGACCGACCGAGAGCAGGAGAGCCAGTGGAGCAAACTCAAAGGCTGGGGCGGGAAAGAGGAAGTGAGCCAGGTGGGTCTGCGGAGCCGACGGCAGAGCCCACACCAAGCCTGTCCCAGCTCCAGCCAGCGTCTGCCCTTAAAAATGGGGCCTTCACGTTTCCAGATCTTTTGATTAAGGAAAATGGATATCCGAGTTTATTAGAAAATTTTAAATGCTGGCAATTGATTAAAAAAATTTTAACATGGTATAGTCCAATCATCTGTGTAGACTGGAGATGGCCCCTAGGTGGCTCATGAACCACTCTGTTCTAGAATTTGATCTGTGTCTGCTTTGTACCCACACGCATTCCACAGTCAGCTAAGACCAAGTCCAGTTCTGATCTATTTCTCAAATAGAGGACGGATGACACCAAAATACTTCCACCTTGCCATCGAATTAGAGGCCACT